TATCTGTTAGAGCTGTTTTTGATGTAGTTCTATGCTAACTGTAGTAGTAGTATGCTAAATGTAACAGTCATCGATAATGATTCATCTACAGAGTAATGTACACTGTTAACAAATATTTACTTACACTGTCAAATCATCATGAAGAGCAATCAAAATTAATCACAGGTAACAGTTTAAATCATAGATTAAAGGTTTTAATCACATATTAAAACCTTTGATCACAGATTTGTTAATCAGTATTCAACAATAAGTGCTGCAACAGAGCTGAATTTAAAATAAAACCTAGATTAATAACTCCTTGATTAGCACTAAAGCTTAATTTAATCTTGTTGGTGTATTTCACCCTTAGTGTACTTTTCTAGCTCTTTCAGTTACCTGGTAAAAGAAACGTCCAAACATTCACCACAAATGTTGAGCTGATACTCACATGAACAGTGTCAGTTCTCAAATCCTTCAGTCTACTGTTCAAGAATCCTCACGTTTTCAGAACCTGACAGTGACATCACACATTCTACAATCTTACTGCCTTTATGATGCAGGATGATGTGTGGCTTTATGACATACATCCATTCTATTATACTGTAGTCTAGTTCAGTGATGCTCTGTCTTCACCCAATCACAATAAGTACCACTGATTCTTATTGAAGTGTAAATTTAGGTCTGGCTATTGTACTGTATCCCTCCATAACAGAAGAACCATTAAAGTTGGATGACAGAGTTACTGTTGTCCTGAACAAAGCTGCGCTGTCAGCAATACTGTGACTGGATTTACACTGTGAAAAATATTCCACTTTTATGCCTTTTATATATTAGTGATACCAGCAATATTTTTGGAAAAAAAATACATGAGTAATGCTTAATACATTAAAGATCTGGCTACTATAAGAATAAAGGAAATTGCTGAAGCAGCTTCATTAATGATGATATTCAGTAAACACCTTTGCTTTTTATGTTTTCTAGTGGTCATAAATACATTATTCCTCTGGAAAATATAAAAGCATCCCAAGCACACACAAAAATCTGTGTTAGTGGCCTTAACTATTCACATATTGATATGTGGAGCCTAGTGGTTAGCCTTAAATGTTAGAGCTTGGCCAAAAATACTCAGATTTTAAATTAGATTTAAAAACCCAACTATGGTACATTTTTTGCTAGCACCCCTATGGGGTTACTAGTGTCATGTTAGCATTAAGCTAATGCTGTTGAATAAACATTTTTTACCCACTCATATTTTCAATATGTATTCAACATACATTCAGTATCTTCTGTTTGAAGCTTATTACAGATGTTATCTATTATTAAATCTGAGTATGCATTAGTTTTACAGCAACTCTTCCACTTAGTAAAGTGAGGAGTGGAGGAGATCACAGATGATTTCTGGAGGTTACTGAACTTTCCAAATTGTTTCTGTGCCATCGATAGGAAACATTCTGATGAGAGCACCCGTCCACGGTGGAAGCTTATATTTGTAGACATAGACGTATGACCAAAAAAAGCAGAACTACCTTCAATGCAGGTGGTCAACATGGAGTGAAGCAGTCACAGGTGGAGGTGATGAACTCAAAGCTAACTTCAGACGTCACTCTATGTTAGTGAAGCAATGACTTAAACCTAATACTGTATATTACACAAGAAATCTACTCAATCAATGCAGCCAACAACAATCAGTTCTTTAAGTGCACTGTGATCTAATTTGCACTACCTTTGGTTAGTTTTAGTTTCTGCAATTAATTTACAAAGAGCTTAAAAAACAGCAGAAACAATCGACATAACAAAGTTGACTTTTCTGCTGTCATAGTGTTATAAGCAGATGACAGTAAAAAATGGGGAAAAATAAATTTAATCAGACTTGTGATTTTTGAACAATGTGCTTTCATTCAATTTTAAAGCACAAAACAAATGCAAAATTGAATCAGTTCAACTTCATGTTGCAAGAATATAGCATAAAATAGCACTTATTTGCTGGTTACTGCAGCTTTACCTTGTAAACGCTCACTGATCTGAATTTGAGTAGCTCTTATATAGTTACACCACTAGATGGCATTCTAAGATCAGATTAGGCACTTGCATGATGGGTAATCTGTAGGTGTGTGAATCTTTGAGCTAGCAGTGAATCAATTCAATTCATGAATCATTGGTTTATGATTCAATTCAAATTATTTTTTTGTGAATTAAGAACAATTTAATACACTAAACTGTGATTTGGTTCAGCAATTTATTGAATATTATAATGAAATAAAAGTCTTAATATAATGAACTAACAGGCTTCTCCTAATCATTGTCAGGCAAAAACGTAATTAGTAATCAGTAATGTTTATCACAACACAGGTCATTTTAAAAGAACATGACCTAAATAAGCTACATTTGATTACAGTATAAAGAAGGTGTATGATGACGCAGCTGGCGAGAATAAAAGGTTTATATATTAGAGGATGTTATGACCCGGTCTATGGGTCAGACTGCAACAGAAAGTGAGAGTGGACTCTCTCCTCATAACTGCTGCCAGACCAAACACTGGAGCTTGTTATGTGTGATGTCAGAGAGAACATGTTCTAGTCAAACACAGTGTGAGGAGAAGGCAGTTATAAATACAGACCCTCCTGCACTTCTTTATTTTTCAGGTAATTTATTTAATTTATTTCAGCATTGGTTTATAAAGAACTACACACAAAATAAGAGTGAATAGTGCTTCATAAAAATCCTCATTCTGGCTCAGAAAGATGTGATATATATATATATATATATATATATATATATATATATATATATATATATATATATATATATACATATATTATTATTATTATTAAAATATGTATTACAGAACAATAGAATAATCTCAGCCAGTACTCTGTCTGTATTGTGACTATATCTCATCTACTAGCATTGCTTTATCTTTGATGAAGTCTGTGTTTGTTAGCTGTTATTCAATGAAATGAATCCCTGAAATCCCTCAGTATGAATTCAGAGTATAGAAATGAATGTGGTTCCATAAAGAACTCTATGACACTGATCACACAGCCGTGTTCATCACCATTCGGATGAGGTGCTGGATGAGCTTCTTTCGGAACCTCAACTGGAGCAGCCTGGAATGGGTTTGAGACCTGAAACAGAAATGAATGGATAACTACAAATACCCCTGCATAACATACAGCTCCACATAATGGAATTATGTGCAATAACATGTATGTAATAAAACAATATTACTTAATGACCCTTAATTCCACATTCAGACTTTTACACAGAAACTTTTTGATGCAGGTGTGTTTGTTCAGCTCCTCAGGTGAGACAGTCAGAACGCTCCTCTTCTGGAAGGTTCCATCCTGGTTGGGTAGCGTCTCTCTGACGTCCTCATGCAGATCCTCTCCATTCTTCTGCCAGGAGATGTTCACTGCTTTGGGGAAGAAACCTGTAGCGTGACACACCACTGGAGAAGAAGAGTCCTTCTGGAACAGAGACACCTCAGGAGGAACTAGAGAGAGAGAAAGAGAGAGAGAGACTACTATTTGGTAGAACCATGTTTTGCTACAATAACAGCTTTAGGTATGTTGGGTCTACCAGGCTCTTCCTGGCCGATTTTCTCCAGGTTGTTCAGTATGGCTGGATGACGCTTCCGGACTGCAATTTTCAAATAGTGCCACTGTGTTGCTCTGTCTTGTGCTTGGCATCATTGTCCTGCTGAAAGGTTAAGTGTCTCCCAAGCTTTAGTTGTTTAGAAGACTTTCTAAAGTTTTCTGTACTTTGCATCATCCATCTGTACTGCTATTCAAACAAGATGCCCTGTACACGCTGAGAAAAAGCACAGCATTACACTACCGTCCCCATACTTCACTGTTGGGATGGTGTTTGTTGAAGAATGGACAGTGTTAGGTTTGCACGACACATAGCTTTTTTAATTTTGGCCAAAAAGCTTTTGACCATGAAACCCCATCCCACATTTTAGTTAGGTCACTCTGATGCTTTCTTTCAAACTCCAGACATGCTTTGATGTGTTATTTCTTTAGCAATGCTTTCTTTCTAGCCATTCTCCCTTAGAGGTTGTATGCAGAGCTCTTGATATGGTTGATGCACCTTCATTCCAGTCTCAGCCACTGAACTCTGTAGATCCTTCACAGAGTCCACTTCTTGCTCTGTTGCTGGGCTTTGAGGGACGGCCTTGTCTAGGCAGTGCCTGGGTGATATGATGCAGGTTCCATTTGCTCACAATTGATAGAAAAGTGCACACTGGGATATCTAAATACTTGGAGATTATTTTGCATCCATTTATATCTTGTGCATATCTATAATTTTAGATACAGAATGATTCAGGTGTTGTCCTTCTCCCAAAACTAAAGGGGAACTCCACCAGTTTGTTCAAAATCTCTGCATAATTAAATGGCTAACATGTAAACAAAGTCATTCAGAGTGGTTTGGTGTGAAACGCTCTGTTCTAGAGAAACTTACTGAGTCAGAATTGTTCACAGTAGTGGTGATAGGAACCAGACGTCCACCTCTAAAAGCTCCCTCTCAGAAAGTTATTACATGAAATAGCTGCAAATACACTGTCTTATGCACTCCAAGACACCGTTTTACAGTAGATTTGTCATAAAGTTTTGGTCCAAAATGTATACATTAATTAATATATAAATAATGAATACATTTATTTTACTCCATTCCTGGTGGGGCATACATGAAGGGTGTTCTAAGGCAAATAGTCCCCAAAGAAAACGTATTTTTTCAGACTGACCACTATTTTACCATCGTGAACATTAAACAAAAGACACATGTAGGTTCGCTGCTGGTTTTGGATTGTAAATAAAATGGCCATGTTTGTGTTGTAGTCATGGTGACCCCTGGTTCCTGTCACCACCACTGTAAAGAAGTCTGAGCCTGTCAGTTTCTCTGCAAATGAACCATTTCACATCAAACCACTCTGAATGATTTTTTACTGAGAAAAAAAAAAATACAGTGGAAAACAGTTTAACTAGTTACTTTGAATTGAACAAATGAATATAGCTCACTATAGCATTTTTTAGAAGTATCTATTCCAGAACTCTGCTGCAGTTACAGTAACAGAACAGATCACAGACTTCACCTTTCCTCTCCAGAGTGGCTCTGTCATAATTCAAGTACTTCCTAACCACTGAACACAGGTGTTCTCCAGGTAGGCCTTTTGGAACATGGCACCCTGTGTCTTCTCCCACTTGTATTTGGTAATAACAGCTTTAGCATTAGCTGCAGTCCAGGAGAGAGTCTCCACATCCAGACTGATGTAATCTTCTCCATCATAGCCGAATTGTAAGTGTCCTCTTCTGGATCCACCATCATGCAGCTCACAGCCATACATCTCCTGCACTGTATGAACACCTGTAGACACACACACACACACACACACACACACACACACACACACACAAACACACAGATGCAGGTACATCATACACGATCATACACAATACAGAATACTCAACCATGACAGCACAGACAGTTCAGCTCTCTGTACATCAGAGACTGCATTGTTCCACACTGTACATTATAAAAACGGTTCAGTGTTCAACATCTAATAGTAAGTTAATAGAACTATAATTTAATTATGAGTTTGTTGGGCATCCCATTCCAAAACCATGGCCATTAATATGCAGCTATAAAGCCTAAAGGCTTGTGTGCAGCTGCACAGCCATGGAAACCCATATCATGAAGCTCCTAGCGCCCAGATCTTGTGCTGATATTTTTTCCAGATGCAGTTTGGAACTCATGTACTGAGTGACAAGACAAAGAATAGGCCATTTCTAATCACTACATGCTGCAGCACTCAGAGGGCCCACTCTATGAGTTTGTATGTGAGGGAAAAGTAAACAAAAGTAAAACAGAAGTGAGTAATGTGTTTATGTGATTTTAACACAGTAAAAGTACAATCAGATCTCATCTGGTCACTCTGAAGACGCATTTCATTGAAAAGTGTAAATGGAATCTGGAAGTTTATCCAGATACAATCTGGACACGAAACACATGTTAACGCAAGGTGTAAACAGGCTTGTGTAAACACGTTTTATTGAAAATTAAATGGCAGACAATATTGTTAACTTGGAAATGCTGCTGAATGAAGACCTGTTTGGTAGCTGAAAGAGCAGCTCATATTGTTGAGCTGAGCTGACTGATCTGATCACTGAAATCAACATCAATGCACTGTGCATGCCTGTCAGACGATCCTGTCCTCTGAGGTGTTTGATTTTGTTGTGAAAATCTGAAATTTGCTCAGATCTGTGAGCTGTTCTAGTTTTGTGTTTATAGTTTTGAGAAAATCATCTATCGTTTCAGAAAATGTGTCCCAGCAGTTGATATATATGGTGAATTTTATGTTCTTCTATACTTACTGTTTGGTGTTATTACACTGCTGGTACTCAGTGTCTAAAGCTCTGAGTGTATTCATACTCACCTCCAGTGTGACTGAAGCGCTGCATTAGAATATTCACATTGACTCTGAAGGTCTCCTGATGACGCTGCAGAGTCTGGGTGTATTACTGTTCCAGTAATCTGGATCATCAGCATCAATATTCCTCATCCAGTCTTCCTGATGTTACTGTCATAGTACTCAATCTGCTCTCCATCTACCAGACCTACAGCAGTGAACTCTGGGAAGTTTAATCCTGGTGTAACTGCAGTGTAGAAGTACTGCAGATAGTGGGAGACTGATACAGAGGAAAAATATCTACTGAAATAGATGAACTGACTCTGTTTGAAACTGCAGGCACAGATTAGTCTGTAGACCACTGATTTGTCAGATTTTATTTTATTAGTGTGGCTGTTGCATGAATTAGCGCAGTTTGACACTTGTGGGACATAGAGAATTGGTTCTGTGTTGTTTTATATCTTTTTACTCAGGTTTTAGTATCCGCTCTCTCCACATATTCACGTTCTTTGTTTGAGCTTGGAGTCAGAGCAGGAGTGGGGGTAGGGGGTCTGTAGGTGAAAGACAGAAATGGAGCCCCCAGATGAATATTTCTAAATTAGCTTAGGGTCTGGGCCCCTGCACAAAATTACACCTGGGTAAATAGGGTAAATAGTTCACACTGTAAAATTGTTTTCCCTCAATATGGCAACCCAATCATGGTTTTATAAACACCAGCCTCCATGCAGCCATATTTAGGGAAGCAGTGCAGCATTACATGTTGGTAGGATTGAGTGACCTCTCCAGGTGGATTTCAGAACTGAAAGTAGAACTGAGCAGCACTGCAACTGCTGATTTACCAAAAGTCCTTCTCACAGAACTCAGAGCATGTTTAATCACAGTGAAGCTCGTCTGCTTTGAAAAAGTCTCTGAGCTCTTCTTAGAGTTTGATTGGGTTGAGTGGGTTTTGTGTGATTTTGTGTGATTTTTAATTTCTTTTCTTAACACTGTTGTTGTTTTCATGTAAAGTTTAGAATAGAAATAGAAAACTGACAGGATTAATCTAAAAGCAATGACTTATTTAACTAGAATTTTCTAAATGACCATTGGACTCTTTCAGAATTATTGCATATCATTTAGCTCATCATATTCAGCACTTAGTTACACCGACATGTATATTGTTTAGTTCTAAGAAACCATAGACAGAAGGCCTTGGAAGTTCCACTCACTAAAATTCAGGAACAACAAAAGCACAACTGCACGATTATGTTTAGGATAAGTTGCTGGACATGGTTGATAGACAGCTCTGCTTACAATCAGAGTCTAGAAAAATAATAACTGGTCCAGTTTTTGTGCTACTGCTCCAAATATTCATGGTATGCAGTTCCCTGCAGAGTGTTTTTCCAGAAATTGGTTGTGAAGGACGTGTGTTGACTTTTAGAAGCAATTTTTGCCTCAAAGCGATTTTTATGCACAAGCTGTGAAACACGCCGGCAGTCCCTGTCCATCAGTTGCGTCTTTCAGCCACAATTCTGACAAGAATTTGCTGTAGACTGGGATTTTTGCCACTGCTGGTAGACCTGTATGACCATACCCTTGCAAATTCAGCTACTCTCTTCACACTATGGCCTTTGGCTTGCCCAAATTTAATCACTCCTTTTTGCCAAACATTAACATGTGCTTTGCAACCCATTTTCCAAACATCGAAAGAGACATTCACTGCACTGTACCACCTCTTCTCAATCTATGAACACTGTTGCACACCCGCAGGTATTTATAGTCAGATCATCCTCCTGCAGCACTATCTACAGGAGCCTGAATTTACTACCACCTTAAACATGCAAGGCTAATGACTAATTTTTGCCCAGGGAGCTTATTTTAAATACTCATCAGTTTCAGAGCTGAACCAGAGATGTATGGATGAATATCATTATCACATATAAAACGTCATAACTTTCGCACAGGCTGCATTTCATGGTAAACTCAGCAAAAAACAGTATCAACAAAATCACCAGGGTGCCTAAACATTTGCACAGGACTGTACAGGAATGTTGAAATAATACTTTTCATATTACTGAACAGTGTTGTGTTCCTGAGACCTGTGTGTGATCATATGTAAGTCTTCCTTCACACACCAGGCTTTAAAACCTTCTTCTTACAGATGAACAAACCAGCACAGCCAGTGAAGACCAGCAGGAGAACAATCACAACTGCACCAACAATGACACCAACTGACCCTCCTTCTGAAACATCAGAGTTACATAAAGACATCTGTCATCTGCCCCATCAATAAAATCATTTTGGAAATTGATGTATAGTTTTTTCCTTCTTGAAAATATTCTTCTACCTTGTAGAACTCTACACTCAGACACCTACAGCACCATCTTGTAAATGTATAGTACAGTGTAGTATGTTACAGTATAATAAAGTACAGTATAGTATGATATAGTGCAGTAAATCATAGTATAATATTAGTATAGTGCAGTATAGTATAGTATAGTATGATATAGTGCAGTAAATTATAGTATAATATTAGTATAGTGCAGTACAGTATAGCATAGTAAAGCATGGAACAATGTAGTATAATATAGTAGATTATATTACATGGTAGAACAGTATAGAACAATACAGTATAGTATAGTAGAGTGTATTAAACTATAGTAAAGTACAGTACAATATAGTACATTATGGTATAGTGCAGTATGATATAGTATAGCTAAATGCTATAAATGTATAGTGTAGTGTAGTACAGTGCAGCATGTTACAGTCAAGTACAGCATGGTATGTTATAGTGCAGAATTGTATTGTATAGTAAAGCATGGTATACAGTACAGTATATTACAGTATAGTAAAGTACAGTATGGTATAGTGCAGTATAGTATAGATATGTACGCTTTTTGTTCTACACTCATTGAAGTGTATACTAACAGTTAGTGGTCATTTCTTCACCACATTATGTAAGAAAATCTACCAGACTCTCTTATGATAAGCAGAAGTGTGGCTAGATGGACGATAATATAGTTTTAGATGAGGTATTTGATGTTGTTGTGGGAATATGAAGCCCAGATCTGTGTGAAGTTTTGGTTTTCTGTTTATAGTTCTGAGAAAATCATGTATCGTTTCAGAAAAAGTGCCTCAGCAGTTGGTGTGTTTTTATATACTTACTGCTTAGCTGTTACTGTATTTCTGGTGCTGAGAATGATCCACCACCCAAATAATACCTGCTCTGTGGTGGTCCTGTGGGGGTCCTGACCATTGAAGAACAGTATGAAAGGAGGCTAACAAAGTATACAGAGAAACAGATGATCTACAGTCTGTAATTGTAGAACTACAAAGTGCACTTATGTGTTAAGAGGAGCTAATAAATGGACAATGAATGTAGAAACAAGGAGATGTATGTAATGAAGTAGTAGGTTGGTGTATACACACAGACACACACTCACTCACACACAAACATAGATGTATTATGAAATATTCATTACACAGAGCTTTACATAATGGAGTTATGTGCATAAAATGTATAATGTAATGTATTATTATGGCCAACTTATCAAAGACTGCAGTATAAAAATGAGGCCAGACACAGTGTAGTAGAAAAGATATGTGTAACATTTATTGCAGACTGAAAGCTTGTCTAGATTTTAAGATAGAACAGTAACATGTCCAAATCCAGCATGCTCAATTCTAGACTGGGTGGTGTTCACTACAGATACATTGAACTTTAAGCTGTTGCAAGGCTTTAGAAAATTGTTTAGGCTTAAAATTGGACCCCTCATCAGACTGATTTTGAGATGTGAGCTGGGGAGTATTTGGGGTTGCAACTTATGACATAAAGTCAATCAATGCTTTTAAGATGGACTTTATAGATATAGACCATAAAGGATAAGCTGCCAGATAACAGGTGGACTGACACATAATGGTCAATAAATAACAATGCCTTGCCTTTGAATGGTGCTGATGGCCCTCACAATCAACCAGGAAGTGCTTAAATGGAGTAGATTAAACAGGGATAGGTTGTAATGGAGCAACAAGCATCTTTTGGTTTGGTTTAGTAGTAACCTGGCATACATGATATGACTGAACATAAATAGTCACAACTTTCTTCAGCTTAGGCCAAAAAACGTTTGCGGTCATATGCTTTCCTAACCCCTGTATGTCCTGCCATCCCCTCTTGAGCCACTTTCAACACAGCTCTTGTAAACTTAACAGAAACCATAGCCTGAATTACATCACTAAAATCATCCCTTATAATAATCTCTTATATTTCTCACTATATGTAACTGTCCTCTCCTGGCTCTAGTTATAGCACATACAGGAAACACATAAGAAATTTCTCAGAACATTAATTTTGACCCTTAGCTACTAAAGGTAAAGGAGTAACAATAGGACATAAAACGTTCCCCACACAGTACCTAAATTATTTTCTTAAAATAAGTGTAACTCCTGGCACTGGAAGTGATGGACCCACTCCAAACCACTACATTTCCAGGCGATAGTTCAGAACTGAAGTAAATTTGATGTAAAGGCACCTCAACAAAACCCATCTGAGTTCCTCTTATTAACACTTGCATCCCTGTATCCATTTTAACAGACAATGGTAGAATGTCTTCCACTAAGAAAGACTGTGCTGGCCATGTATCTTTACGTATACACTCTGGCACTCCCTCTTCCTGAGCAGACAAGGGCACCGTTCCCTTAGTAAGGAATAAGCTGTAGTCAACCTGAGCTTGACTGTCACCAGAATTGAACATTTGAGACTTTGAACACTGAGCTGGTAAAACTTCGACATGCTGATGTAAGAATTGGGGATCTCACCACCAACTCTGACCCCAAAAACAAGCCATAAGTTTGTTTTTGTTTTCAACTAAAAATGTTAAATGGTCTTAATGCTTAAATTTCTGCACATATCTAAACCAAACTTATCAATAAACAACTGCCACAAAACCCTAGTAAGTCCAGCGACTGTCTGGGATACATTGCCTAACAACATAACATACTCCTGGCTTGAAAAAAGTAATAAACACAGAGCTGTCCAACATATATGCTAACTCACCCCACAAAAACATAGCCTACCAAGCAACTTGCAAACTTAACATGCTGCAACATTCCCACATGCTAACACCAACCCCATACATAGTATGTTACAATTTATTATATATATTCACCTAACTGTGTTGCCACTTGGTGTAACTTGACAAACACGTGCAGCCACTCTCTCGGGGTCCTTACACACACTTTTTTTGGGATCTGAGAAACTGTGTTTCCTCCATACCGAATGAAAAAACTAATTAAAGCCTACCTGGTCTTCAGAGGTGAATCAGGCTCAGGGTGACATTGAAGGATACACTTCATAGTGTCCAAAATGCACAACCCCACTAGAGAATTATATCTCCACCTGGCATTACCTCCCAAAACAGGAAAGGAAAAACAACAAACCAAAAAGAACAAACAAGTGTTTCGATGGAAGTGTTGCACAACAACCCAACTGGAACACTAACCAGAGTTTAGTCTTTTCCAATGTTCCCACAGCATGATTACTCACCTGCAAGCTGATAAAACTTTAAATCCTTTTTATTGAATACATGTTGTGTTATTGAGAACTGTGTGTAAGAAATCTGTGTTCTGGCTCAGTATGTACATCTCTCTGCACTTACCAGAGTTCTTCCAAATGATATATACAGAACAGCCACTGAGGACAAGGAGAAGAACAACCACAACTCCAAGACTGATCACACCAACTGACCCTCCATCTGAAACACCTGAGGGTTACATCAGGACATCTTTAATCTAAAATAAATTTTGAAATTGATATATAATTACTTTCCTTATATATTCCCGTGGAAATGTTCTCTTACCTGACACAACTCTGCGATCATTGCCTTGTAGCACCATCTTCTTGTCCAGGTTGCTGTGCTGAATGATGCAGGTGTAGTGGTGTTTGTTCAGCTCCTCAGGTGGGACAGTCAGAACGCTCCTCTTCTGAAAGGTTCCTTCCTGGTTGGGTAGTGTCTCTCCGAGCTCCACGTCCTCATGCAGATCCTCTCCATTCTTCTGCCAGGAGATGTTCACTGCTTTGGGGAAGAAACCTGTAGCGTGACACACCACTGGAGAAGAAGAGTCCTTCTGGAACAGAGACACCTCAGGAGAGACTGGAGAGATAAAACATATTAACACTACCACACTTCAACACACTCCTTAACCAGCACAGACCATTCAACAGTTAGTTGGTAGAGTCTTGTCTCTGCCAGGATTTCACAATATTTAACACAACGTTTTCACTGTAAAATACTGTATTTATCATTCTGTTGTGAAATTAACTCATCATAAAATATCTTTTGCAATAAAACAGCAAAATACTGTGAGACAGCCCAGCAACTGACAGATAAAAAGGCTTATATATATATATATATATATATATATATATATATATATATAACTGAAGTTATGCAATAAAAAGATTATGCAAATGATAAGCTGAGCTAAACATTCTGTAAAATGTGTATTTGCATTTAAAAAGCATATTTGAGATATACTGTGCATATACAGTGCAAAATATGGTGAATAAATATGTTAATTGATGTATTTCTTATAATTAAGTCTGCTACACTTTTTCATATGTAAATTTACAGTACTGGCTACTGATTCACTACTGGCCACAGAATTACCTTTACAGTTGTTTTGTAAAAACACAGTAGACTACTGTATTTTAATTGCAGCCTCTTACAGCAGAAGTGTACAGTACAGAATATTAGAGTGAAATTTATGCAACTAGAGGCCAGTGATTTACTTTACTTTGGCAGTCAAATTTTTCACAGAGCAAAAGCACCGTCTCTTTTTAGTTTAAGCCGAGATTGTGGAACAGTCAGGAGTAACTGAGAAGCTGCTCTTTAAGGTCTTGAAGGAGCTCCTGTATGTAGGTGCAAAGCCATGCAATGCTTTAAAACAATCAAAGCCACCTTATACTGGATTCTGTAATGAACTGGGAGTCAGTGTAGAGACACTAAGGCTGTAGTGACGTGATCTTTCTGTACCAGTTTATTACTTGACTGCAGTGTTTCGAACTAGTTGTAAACAAGCAAGAAATGTCTCACTAACCCCTAAGATACAACACATTACAGTAAACCAATCAAGATAAAAGAAAAGCATCAATGACTTTTTAATAATAGGTATTAGGTATGTAGGTAATCATAGGTATGTAATGATTTATTCTGGAGTTCTCTGCTGAAAAGAACTGCTCTGAACCACTGCATTCATTTGTTTATTACATTTTATCTCACAAATCAACCTGAATTGTTTACTTGTGTTTTATCAATGGGTGTTACAGAACCCAGATCACCCAGCAAGGATGAATTAGGAGGACCAAAGACAATAATCTCTGTTTTACTGTTGTTTAGTTGTAAGAAACTGTTGGTCATCAGATGTTTTAATATCTGTGGCTTCCCTTTCATACATTCAGCAAAAAACATATTAAATTGGGTAGGCATGATTCTTATAATAATAAATTTGAACCATGTTTCCATTCATTTGTTCATTGTAATTCATAAATGCTTATGCCGTGTCATATAGTAGTGTGATATTTCAACTTAACTAGTTACTTTGAATGTAACTAATATGTAATGTAGCCCACGGTTGCTTTTCTTTTAGAAATATCTAGTTACACAGAGCAGATCACTGTACCTTTCCTCTCCAGAGTGGATCTGCCATATTCCACGTACTTCTGTAACCACTCAGTACAGTTCTCCTCCAAATAGGTCTTCTGGAGCTTGGCTTCACCCACCGTCTCCCACTTGTGTTTGGTAATAACAGCTTTAGCGTTAGCTGCAGTCCAGGTAAGAGTGTCCACATCCAGACTGATGAAGTCTTCTCCGTCATAGCCGTACTGCCAGTATCCTCTTTTATTTCCATTACCGTCCTGTTCACAGCCGTACATCATCTGAACTGTGTGAACCCCTGCAGAGACACCAACACAGTAAACAAAAAGCTGAGAAGCATTTTCTGGCATAACTAATAAGATTAACTTATACAGTAAATAAGATTAACCAAAGCAGTAACTGATATAAACTATTATTATATTAAGGTTAACTGATATAGTAACTCATATTAACTGATATTGTAGTGGTGGGGAACAGATCGTGAATATGCTGATCAATGTGGGTTTGTTTTCCAAAATTACTTCATTAACTTAGTTAAATTTGTGTTAATGAATTAAAATTGTGTATATGAGAATAATAATAATTTAATGCTACTACTACTATTGCTATTATTATTATTGTAGCTAATAATGCTAATACAATTAGCTTTATTATCATACTAGTTATATATTATATATATATATATATATATATATATATATATATGTGTGTGTGTGTGTATGTATAACATGATAAAAAAATATATATACACTTTAAATATGTTGCATGTTAATAAATTAAATGTATAATGTGCTAAAATTGTTTGGTTTAAAGTGTTCAGACTGAGGTTTTGGAAAAACTCACTAATAGAACATTTCTCTGGAAATCATTTCTATAGTTCTTCATTTGTTTGTACATAATTGCTAGGTTACTAAGGAACCATGTGAGCTGTGTTCTCAGTTTCTCTCTGCAGTGTGTAGAAACTAATATGATAGCTGTGTTTGGTATTTTGATGGGGAGAGAATTCATGGTTTTATAGCCATTTTGCTCTCAATATGGGGTGAATTAGAGAGAATTGAGAGCAGAGACACCGTGTCCTCAGTGTGTTAAGTAAACAAGAATATTTGAATTTGTTGAGAAAATCTAAAGTGTGCTCAGATCTGTGTGTAGGTCAGGTTTTGTGTTCACAGTGTTTTTAGTGTTATCACTCATTATTTCAGGAAATGTGTCTCAGCAGCTAAAAAAGTAAGTATAATTTTCTATAATCACGGTTTAGATGTTATTGTAGAGCTGGTGTTCAGTGCTATAAGCTCTCAGTGTGTTCATACTCACCTTCAGTCTGATTAAAGCGCTGCATTAGAACAGCCACATTGGCTTTGAAGACCTCCTGATTAGCCTGCAGACCCTGTGTCCCAGTGTTCCAGTACTCTGGATCATCATTATCAGTCTTCTTTATCCAGTCTGTCTTTGGGATCAACTCCCTGATGTTACTGTCATAGTAATCAATCTGCTTTCCATCCAGCAGACCGACTGCAGTGAACTCTGGGAAGTTTATTCCTGGTGTAACTGCAGTGTAGACGTACTGCAGAGAGTGAGAGACTGAAACAGATAAAAAAAATACTGAAACAGACCAACAGACGCTCTTTAGATTATTAGATTAGATTATTGTTTTATAAGGTTCTGTTTCCATTATTGTGGCAATTAGCATGAATTAGTCCAGTTTTTTGTAATCACTGTAAAGCATTTTTCAGTGCCAAGTTCATTTTTTTCAAAACTCTTCACACCCCTCTCTGCAGAAACCCAGCTCAGCTCAGAAGTTTATTTAATACTCAAAATTCTACACAGCTACAAAAGCACTGCAGAAACATCACAATCAACTCACTCCATCAGAACAACAGCACTAGAGTTCTTATAACAGGAAGACTTTATCAATATTTATATATATATATATATATATATATATATATATATATATATATATATATATATATGTATTTAATTTATATACATATATAAAACCCATCTGTGCAGTGAAACACCACATACACACTAGTGAACACACACACACTAGGGGGCAGTGAGCACTTCCCTAACCTCCAGCCCACGACTGCCCCCAGTTCTGTTTTGTCTAAGACTAAGAAGAGATTTAACCCCTTAAAATCCCAGGCCGATTACATACTAAGGCTTATTATTCAGTAACTACAGGGACCTCAATGCAAACTGGCTGAGCTATTCTTAGGTTATGGAAGTGTGTAATAAAACTTTGGGTTTGCCGATGGGCTCTGGCCACCAAAGGGGTTATAGACCTTTGGAAACTGTGGTCACTAAATGCAATCTGCACTTAACAAAGAGAAAACTGCCCATGGTTTGGTCCAAACAGAGTGCTGTTGTATTAACTGTGTTGTATTAACTTTTAAAAAAGAGAACTGAAAACATTTATTAGCGGTGGTAAAATACCATAATGCCCTCTGTCTCTCTCTCTCTCTACATGTTCATACTCTTTGTTTCGAGCTCAGAGTGAGAGGGAATAATGGTTCTGTGCTGAGATAATAATTAAAACAACTGTTCATAGCCATCATGAAGAGAGAGGATCAGTCCAAAAGCACAGAGATCTTCATTTCAGGGTGGAAAGTGAACTAGTTCACAAAGTCCATCCCACATAAGAACTCTTTCATTTATCTCTATCTGCACAAACTGTAACCATCTCACTCTAATGAATGGTTCTCTCAGTAGAAAGAGAACAGAATCAGATATCTAGAACATCAACATGCTATCAATTAGGATAGCATATTGTTAAACGATGAAGACCAGTAATTAAAAACGGTTAATCAGAATATGAGAGTTTGCAGACTGACTGTCAGACAGACGTACAGAAACAGACTGACCTGCTGATATTGGATGAATATAAACTGTGAGGATAAACAGGCTTTTCTTCATCACTGTACAGTAATCCATTATCAGCACTGCAGACAGTTACAGAAGTGGGTTCTCTTTCACTAGTTTAGTTCTTTATTATACACTGAACTCAGTAGGAAGTTAGCAGGGTTGCCAGATAACCTTAATTCCTCTACTGAGGAACCTCTAACAAGCATTTTCAGTACTGAGTTCAATTTTATAGGAATCTTCACATAGTTAGTATAACACAACAGCTCTGTATGAATACCCTTTCAATTATTTGAATGCAGGATGTAATCAGTGACAATAATGTCCAAAGTTCTTTAATTCTCCTCTCTCTCAGTCTCAGAGTTTAAGAGAACTGTGTGTTTCTGTATCTCAACCTGCAAACACTCACACTGTTACACAGCTGATACACTGAACTCCAGAATCTAACATGAAAATCAACTGCATATCAATTTACTCAATTACTAAAAATACTGTATCAGATAATCAGCCCAAAAAAATCACTATGGTTAGAGAGACAAACTGCTCAATTGAATGTGTGCAAACAGGCCGATCACAGCTGATTCCCATCTGAGCTGAAGTCCAACTCAGGTACAGACCATCTATAAAAAGGGGTCACTTCTAGACTTAGTCTGTTCACAATGGACAGTGCATTATGAGCAAAGCTCATGCTTATTAATACAGGTATAAATGTGTATAAACAACAGATGACATCAGGTGTGATGTGGAAGAGAACATGTGGCCCAATATTGCAGATTAAGTAGAGTCACATTTACAGTATCTTGATTTTTTCTCTGCTAGATGATGTAAAGTCCTGGATTTCTCATTTGTATTACTTCATTTGTTCCTATACAGTAAACATATGCCTTTCTGTTTTTCTGATGAAATAAGTTTTTTTCATTCACTGTAGAAACGTTTGTGAAGGCAACTTAAAAAGAGTTCATGCAGTAACAAACACTTTAACAGCTTTTATTCAACCCACATTCTAAATTCTCTCAGTGCTTTGTATTCTTTACAGTCCTCACTCTATAAATATGAACAAAAGCAAGTTCAAAACGGAGGTTTTTCACCAATATGGCAACCCAAACATGGTTTTATAAACACCAGCCTCCATGCAGCCACATTTAGGGAAGCAGTGCAGCATTACATGTTGGTAGGATCAGGTGAACTCTCCAGGTGGATTTCAGAACTGAGTAGAACTGAGCAGCACTGCGACTGCTGATTTACCAAAAGTCCTCCTCACAGAACTCAGAGCAAGTTTAATCACAGTGAAGCTCGTCTGCTTTGAAAAAGCACAAATCTCTACACTCTTATGTCGGAGTTTGGTTGGACAAATTAAGTCGACTAAGAAAATAAGTTATTTAACCAGAATTCACATATAGTATGTTTATAGCACTTTTAAAGTACTTTTTTATTTTATTTATTTATTAGGTGAAATGGGGGGATGCCCACTTTAAGTGGTCTGAGTTTGTGTGATGTTTTTATATCATTTGGGGTTAAATTTGAATCAGGTATTCATTACTCTTTTCAGCACGTCTCTTGCCTACAGTGAGACCTGCCGACTGTGCACCTGTGACCCAGCATACCTGACAGAAGCTGCTGGAAGGGTAATACATTTGGTTTGCATAAAAGGTATGGATACTTTATTACTCACTGTCTTACTAGCTTACGCTTATATTTAATTTCTTTTAAGGTAATACATTATTTGGATAGCCAACTTGTTCTGTAGCTGCATCTTGCAACTGTAACGTGCATTCAACTAAATAGCTATTCAATTCAATTTAACATTTCTTATCTCAACTTGGCCCTAATTCAATGACTAATCCTAACTGTAACTGGAATAATCATTAAAAGGCTCCTGGGACATGCAATGCTAATAACTGTCTGAAGAGCATCAAGGGTAAACCCACTATCCAATTGCATTAACGTTAAATCAACATAGTGAAAAACTCTTATTTATTTATACATAATTTATACATAATCTAACAAACAATAAACTTTATTAGACAGGAAACTGTGCAAAAACGTTGGCTCTTACAGCAAGCTAGCTAACTAGCTAGGTTAACCAAGGTAATATTAACTAACCGTTCTTAAAGCCCAGCGAAAAATGGTGTCATTCAAGTATGAAATCAGCTTCTAACCTAAGCGAGAAGCAACAGGAAAGCAGCAGCATCACATTCGCTGCCACCACCACCACCACTGTCGTCGTCATCACTGACGCTGATACGGTGCCTCAAGTGGACCAACATTTGTATTACACACTGGGGTGTAATACTGGGTTGCCACAGAGCCAGAAATGTACAGAGTTCAGTATGGCAGTAGCAGTGGAGCTCTTTAACCAATGCTTTAGTTCGGTTCAGTGCTCTCATCAGCTCTACCATGACATCTCCTGGACATAAACATTACTGCACCAAGAACACAGATTTGCACAAATATGCATATTATTTAAAAACATTGAACATGAAGACATAAATACATTGAAAGACATTGAACATCTAGCATTCTACAGTAGAATATATTTTGAATTAAAATTAGCATTCAGTAACATACAAGCAAGACTTCATCACACAGAATGAAAAAGATTCTTTTCATTTCTGTGCACTCATGGGAACGCACGTAGCCAATCAGAATGCACATGACGAAGTTTGACAGTTGTGACTAATGTCGCATGCTGTATTGATAGGGCTATAGTAGATAATGGAAGTTAATGGGAATTATACTCTAGTGCGATATCAGTAGATAATGGAGGTGTATTGGGATCACATTCTTGACTGGAGATTCCCCTCCCCGCCTGCAGAGGTCACTCTCTCCTGAGTTTTGATGGTTGACTGCTTACCTGAAGCTTGTTTTCTCATTACTCCCCTTATATATAGCTAGTATTTTGGCTAATGTCTTGGCAAAGTCTTGCCAGATGTTTCCTTGCAATTCTAAGCCTTATTACCTATTATTCTTTTTGTTTTTCATGTTTATGGACCTACTGCCTGGCTTCTCTTATTGGATATCGTCTTTGTTTTGGTTGCCTTGGACTGTTTGTATTGCTCTTTGGTTGTAATAAAGTTATAATAAAATTTGGAGTCGATATCGCATCAACTTGAGGATCGTATTTCCATTATTGTAACATTCTTAGTAGTTATGAGTAACTATGTTCAACAAAACACTGCCAAAAGAACATCATGCGTAATTCTCGAAGGAATTTACAAGTCGCTTAGGGAGATATTGGATGAAATAACATGCCAGGTAGAAGCTGATGGACAAGCGCATGGGACAGGCACACCTTCTGCATTTCAGACAGGAAGACTTAGGTAAGTGATAGAAATGGTTTTGGTATGCTATTTCTGCCATGCTCTTTTATTTAGCTGAATCTTCATCTTCATGGATAATGCATAAAAGTTGGCTATCACTATTGTGTGATTCATGCAAAACAGTTTCTGATTTGCTACAATTTGATACTACATTTATAAAGATTTGAATTTCCATCTTGTATTTGTAAAACAGATTTTTTATTGAACACAGTTTCAGTTTCCATCAGCAATAAAATGGAGAACTAGTATTACTGAATGCTCTCTCTCTCTCTCTCTCTCTCCTTGCTGCCTGCCCAGGCTCTTTGGAGCTGAAAGAGGCACAGCCGCAGCAGCAGCTACTTTTCAACAGTTTTTTCATTCGTATTATGCATATTCTTATTGGTAAGAATACTGATGAATAAAAACAAACTGAAGTGGTTTATAAATGTTTTATCTGTTGTTTCTGACCACAAAAAAAGTGGAAAAAGTGAGCTCCCCGGAAGCCATGATATAGGCCTGGTCCAACCAAGATTATCAATACAAGCTGCTATGAAAAAATATTCAGACAATATGAATTAACACATTAACAAATTTGTTTGTTATTTAATTTTTTGCCCTGTAACCCTTGTGTGGTGTTCATGTTTTGTTACTCAGCCAATGTTTGCGGGACTGGTGGACCCACCGTGTTATTAGGTTTTTAATTCAATACAGCCATAACCATTTATGTAAAATGACCAGATGTTTACTTACCCAATTACAAGCAATAAGAGACAGCATATATGGTTAATATTCACCACTTACCTATGTTAGTTCATATCTATAAACTTTAGTGCTAAACGTCTTTTGTGATAAAACGCAAAAAAGGAGAAAAATCTATATCAACATATGGGAAAGTATCAGCACCATTGAACAGACAGAGTATGCACATCAGTCTACTGAAGACACCAGCCCCACTGAACACATTCATGCCAGCCTATACAGCACATGAGGGGCAGATTTGACTGTGTTTTACTGTTTTACTGTGTGTTGCATATGTGTTTCTTGCACATGATGCATTTATGCTGTGTCCTTCTGTACACTTACTTCAACTTCTGCAGATGGTTGTTCTGTCAGTATGTGGGCTGAAGAACACCAGCCTCCTCCTCCTGAATCCTGCTCAGGAGGGCTGCAGAAGCTGGGCTTCTTGGGATATGTTGTCTTCTCTAGATTTGAGGTCTCACCAGCAGACCATATAGGAGGTGAACACAGTGAAGGGACACAGCACCTTCAAACCTTCTATTATCTGCGGGTCTTGTGGACCCGAACACCACATATGTAATATAAATGTGTAGGGGGGTGTACAGTGTGAAGTCAATGAAAATGTATTTGTTTATATGTTCTTCATTGAAAATGAGCCAAGGCCAAGACGTTTGAGGTTGAAATAATAATAAATCGCATAATTTTTTTTTTTGGTAAACACTGAAAACGGGTCCCACAGGCCTGAACACCACATAAGGGTTAAGGTACAACATACCAGCTGCTCAACTGACCCACATACGGGACTTAAGATTTAGCTGGATGGCCATCTATCAAATTTTGTCTGTAAACATTAGAACACTGTACAACCACACAGCTTGGTTTAGTAGACTATGGGAATTTCACCAAGATGTCAAATGATGATCTTGACTGTCTTATTACTGAGATTCTAAGTCAAACCCCTGGCTCAGGAGAGACCTATATTTCTGGTAGTTTGAGAGGGAGAGGGAGCAGAGTTCAGCGATGGCGAGTGCAAGAGCATTTAAGACTAGTAGATCCAGTGGGAAGAGCCTTCAGAGGTCGAAGGGCAATTAAACGGAGTGTCTACAATGCCTCTGTCCCAAATCAAGTGTGGTATGTGTATGATTATTACTCACTAGCTGGTCAATGAAATAAGTTAAAAAGATTTATGTAAGGATAAGAGTCTCAAAACTATCTTAAATAAATTACGAGCCATTGTAGTATAAGTAATATGAAAAAAGCATTATATATAAAACAAAAATGTGAAATAATGCAATCATGTTAAAAATATGAAAATAAACATGATGAAAGCAAATATAATAATAATATTAAGATAAATTTCAAATATTTTTGTATTTATATCTGGGGTTGTAACATTTTTATTACTGCATTGTAACATCTAACAAGTTGATCTTACTTATAAAGAATTGAGGAAACCAATTGCCTTAAAAAAGGTAAGAAAAAGAACTACCAGCCTAAAGTTTTCAAGGCAGCTGGGTTTCCTGTATTTTTTAAAAGAAGATTAATTTATCAGGTTTTACAGTAGAAATAGCCTATGTGGTAGAATAAACACCAAAGAAGTTAAACCTTGATTTACATCAAATGTGGTTTATGATAGGCTAATTTTATCTTATGCCAGGCATGTTGACACAAACCACAAGTTAAATCCATGGGGATTTGTGTTTCATGGAGGAGTTGATGAGATGCTGCACAGACAACAGAGCATCAACTGCCTTGCAACCTTTCCAGACTGCTGTTGATTTGTTTGGACTCCTGCATCGTGTCAGGGGTGATGCTGGTAGGGAGAATATTGACTTTGCATGTTTCATGATCGAGAATTGATTGGCAAACAGAGGAAGTTTTACGGTTGGACGTAGTGTACATAACCAAAGAATTTAACAATTGTGGGCAGAACTAAACAGGGTGGTGTCAGCCTACTTTAAAGACCTTTTCCTCTTTATGGAAAATGCTGGAATTTGAAATAGCACTGACCTACTTCACAGTAGGACTCTTCGCCTTGTTTATCTTCCACGAATTTAGGGCAATGGAAAGCAGCTCCCCACTGTGGACAGTTGGAATGCTTCAACTTCCTCATCATCAACGACTACTCAGTCATGTACATGTGCCACGTACCAGTGTAACAACAGAGTTAAGGCGAATGAATCCTTTGATTGACAGACAGTGCCATCTGAGGGCTCCAAGGTCACACATATTCAACAATGTTTTCTGGCTTTTCCCTAGACAGACTGAAATTTCTCTGGATTCCTTGAATCTTCTCACAATATTATGAATAGTAAATGGTAAGAGACTGAAATACTTTGCAGTCTTGCATTGAGAAATGTTCTTTTTTAACTGTTCCCTCAATTCTCTCATGAAGTTTGGCACAAAGCAGTGAGCCACGACCCATCGTTGTTTGCAAAGACTGAGCCTTTGGTGGATGGTCCTTTTATACCCAGTCATGATACCCTCACCTGTTACCAACCCACCAGCTTACTGTAGAGTGTTTCAAAACAGTGTAACTTGAAAATTCTACAAACTTTTCACTTTTCTTTTGCCCGTCTCAACTTTGAGTGTGTTGCATGCATCAAATTCAGAATTTCAAAATAAGTTTATATTTACAAAATACAAACAAGTTGGTCAGCTAAAAAATTAAAAGTAATTTCTTTGTACTTTTTTTACTCAAGTAAATAAAGGTTCGGGGGAATTAACACATCACAGATTGTTGTTTTCTAACTTTCTGGAATGGAGTTTGTACAAAAATATTCAAAAAAAAATATTTTAATAATAAAGTTTTTGCCTAGCAACAGCTATTTTTTAATAACAAAGTAAATTAATACATACTTCAAGATGTGTGTATATTGAGTTCTATACAAGAGTTCTGCCAATCAAACATTAGAACTGGAACTGTTTTATGAGATGCCTTTGCATGAGAGTGTTAGTTTTCCAGCCAGCCAAGTTCTTCCACACCAAACTCACCCAGCCATGCCTTTATGGACCTGCTTTGTGCACTGGGGCTCAGTCATGCTGGAACAGAAAAGGTTCTTCGCCAAACTGTTCCCACAAAGTTGGAAGTGTACAATTGTCCAAAATGTCTTGGTGCTGAATCATTAAGATTTCCCTTAGTTCCAGTGAAGGGAAATCTTAATTGCCTAGGCCAACCCCTGAAACAATCCCATAGCATTATCCTTCCTACACCAAACTTTATACTTGGCACAGTACAGTCAGGCAGGTTATGTACTCCTGGCATTCACCAAACCAAGACTCTTCCATCAGAGTGCCAAATAGAGAAGCCTGATTCATCACTCCACAGAATACGTTTCCACTGCTCCAGAGTCCAGTGGTGGTGTGTTTTACAGCACTCCATCCGATGCTTGGCACTATGCTTGGTCATGTAAGGCTTGCATGCAGCTGCTCGGCCATGGAAACTCATGCCATGAAGCTCCCAGTACAGTTATTGTGCTGATGTTAATGCCAGAGGAGGTTTGGTACTCTGCAGGTATTGAGCCAGCAGAGCGTTGGTGACCTTTATTCACTCGGCGACCTGCTCTGTAACTTTTCGTGGTCTGACACTTTGTGGCTGAGTTGCTGTCGTTCCTAAAAACTTCCACTTTTCCATAATACCACTCATAATTGATTGTGGAATATCTAGGAGAGAAGAAATTTTGCTATCTGACTTGTGGTAACGGTGGCATCCTATTACACTACCATGCTCGAATTCAGTGAGCTCTTTAGAACGACCCATTCTTTCACAAATGTTTGCAAAGGCAGACTGCATGGCTAGGTGCTTGATTTTATACACTTGTGGCAATAGGACTGAATGAAACACCTGAATGATCAATGATTAAGAGGTGTGTCCCAATACTTTTGTCCACATCGTGTAGTGGTGTGTGCTTTAATAGATATAACGTTTTAAAGGTTTGAATTACTCACTTCTACTGAAAGTGCAGTCCTTTATCCTGTCTCTGCTGCTTTCTCTGATCTTTTCTCTCACTCTGTCTGGTAAACATCAGGATTAAAAGAGTGCTGAGCAGAACCGTAATCACAGCTCCAAACACCAGAATCAGTATGTAGAACACTTCAGCAGGTGAACAACCTTCAGAAAACATCAGAAAAGCACATTTTCACCTTTAAAATACACAGATTTAGAATAGAGTGAAAAGAGTTAAGATTATTTTCAAAGCTGTCAAAACACCTTCTGCCTTTATGATAATAATATTATATAATAGCATAACAACAGACCGTAAATGGAGTGTTCCGCAAATATACAGTGCTCTAAAAATCAATTAATGTGCACTGTGAGAGCAGTGAATATAGTAAATGACAAACCTTCAGACTTTGTTGGATTCTTGGAATTTATTTGACTTCTCTCTGAAAAAGAAATATTTTCCTAACTTTATATAATAATATGCAATATTCTTTATCATGGTTCCGAGTAGAATCATACTCTTAGTTATGAAATTGATTTACATTATAGTTGATGGCTAATCTAAAGAAACAATAGACATTACCTTTCAGTTGTAAATATGTTGTGGTTCTGAATATCATCTGCTTTCCCCTCAGACTGCTGCAGTAATAGAGTCCTGAATCAGAGTGATTAACTGCAGTTATTGTTAGAGAGGAGTTTATCAAGTTCACTCTCATCACTGTTCTGTTACTTGCAGGGATAAAACTACAGGGTTTAGATGATGATAATGAAAATGTGTAATATTTGCATGCAATATAAATTGGTGCTGAATTATTTCTGTGTTTGAACCAGAATATATAATCTGGTGGCGTTAAACTGTGTTGACACCAGAGAGTGACATCAACACCAGGTTCTGCTTCCACAGTAAAATCAGCCTGAGAACACACACACACTGAGCGCAAGCCTGAAACACACAAAACAACACAGATCTGACTTATGTCAAATACAGGCCCATCTCTAATAGGTTTGGGCGGAAATGAACTACAACCCCAATTTCGAAAAAGTTGTGAAGCTGTAAAATGTAAATAAATGTAAATAAAAACAGAATGCAATGATTTGCAAATCTCATCGATCCATATTTTATTCACTATAGAACATAGAACACATATCAGATGTTTGAAAGTGAGAGATTTTACCATTTCATGAAAAACAATAGCTCATTTATAACTTAATGGCAGCAACGCATCTCAGAAAAGTTAGGACAGGGCCTCTTCTTTTAACAACAGTCTGTAAATGTCTAAGAGGGGAGGAGACCAATTGCTGGAGAGAATGTTGTCCCATTCTTGTCTGATGTAGGATTCTAGCTGCTCATCAGTCCTGGGTCTTCTTTACCAGATTTTTCACTTCATGAGGCGCCAAATGTTTTCTACTGGTGAAAGTTCTGGACTGCAGACAGGCAGCGCCTGGACTCTTCTTCTGCGAAGCCGTGCTGTTGTGATGGATGCAGTATGTGGTTTAGCATTGTCTTGCTGAAATAAGGCCCTTCCCTGAAAAAGTCATTGTTTAGATAGAGCATATGTTGTTCTAAAACTTCTACATACTGTTCAGCATTGATAATGCCTTTCTAGATTTGTAAGCTGCCCAAGCCATAGGCACTAGTGCAACCCTATACCATCAGAGATGCAGGCTTTTGAACTATGCACATGATAGCAAGCTGGATGGTCCCTCTCCTCTTGAGTGTGCAGGATATGGCATCTGTGTTTTCTATAGAGAATTAAAAATTCATCTGACCACAGAACAGTTTTCCATTTTGCCTCAGTCCATTTTAAATGAGCTTTGACCCAGAGAAGACGGCAGTGTTTCTGGATCATGTTGGCATATGGTTTCTTCTTTGCATGATACAGCTTTCACTTGCATTTGTGAATTGCACGGTGAACTGTGTTCACAGACAGTGATTTCTGGAAGTTTTGCTGAGCCCATGCAGTGATTTCCAGTAAAGAATTATGCCTGTTTTCAATGCAGTGCCGCTTGAGGGTCCGAAGATCACGAGCATCCAATGCTGACCGTCAGCCTTGTCCCTTGTGTACAGGGATTTCTCCAGATTCTGAGAAATCCCTTTTGATGATATTATGTACTGTAGATGGTGGGATATCCAAAGTCTTCGCAATTTTTCATTGAGGAACATTTTTCTGAAATTGTTCCACAATTTTTAGATGCAGTTTTTTGCTGATTAGTGAACCTCTGCCTATCTTTGCTTCTGAGAGACTCAGTCTCTCTAAAATGCTCTTTTTGTACCCAGTCATGTGAGTTAGTTGCAAATTTCTTCTCCAGCTGTTTTTTTAGTACCACGTACTTTTCCAGCCTTTTGTTGTCCTGTCCCAACTTTTTTGAGATGCTGCCAACAAGTTTTAAATGAGTTAATGGTTTTCATTAAATGGTAAAATGTCTCCCTTTCAACATTTGAAGTGTCCCATGTTCTACAGTGAATAAAATATGGGTATATGAGATTTCATTTGTTTACATTTTACACAGCGTCCCAACTTTTTTGGAATTGGGGTTGTACTACAAATTAAACTATTATGAATTCAGTATATTTATTCATGTTCAGGCCTGAAAAATAATTATCCCAGTCCAGCCCTGTTCATGTTTACACACTGTTCCATCTTTAGTTGAGATCATCATTAGAATATTCAGTGGTTCTCTCAGTATCTAGTGTACAGAACTTTAACCAATTATCTTTTAAAAGACTTATCTCTCCAGATAGGAGAACATGTGCCTAAAACAGTACCTAAAAGTTCTGCACTCTGAAATAAAATATTTATTTAACTGATTACACTGCCAGCTTTTGATTAGACAGAAGAGTTTTAAAATAAATACAATTTCGGAAACACTTACTGATCCCCCAGAGCAGCAGAGCCATACGTAGACAGTGACCCATCACAGTTCCATACCACATCAGTACCACAGAGGAAGTTTCAATGTCTTTTCAATTGTGCTTTCTTTACGTGGAGGAGGCGGGGCTTACATTGTCTTAAAAAATAGCAGTAGAGTCAGTTTTAAGATGGTCACCACAGACTATATATGTGGACCACATAACTTCTTGTGCATGTGAGAGAATCTGGCTGATATGATCATCCACATAATTCAAGATCTTAAAAAAAAACTACAAATGGCATCAGTTACACCTTCACACTGGAATATTAAACCTAATGGACAGAAATATCAAAAGTTAATAATAATAATAATAATAATAATAATAATAATAATAATAATTACTGTCATTATAATTAAAGTAATAAAGTAATAATTGAAGTAATAAAATCTCTCAAAGAAAATTAAACAAAGGGGTCTCTTCTCCTGGCAGCAGTCAACACTGCCATCCATCATCCATCATTATACAGAAAACAAGAAAAGAGAACAAGTGAGATCACAATAAAGAGTGTGGCACAAAAAACTGAACATATAAAGTGTTTATAGTGTTTATGTTTTTTTTTATATATATATATAACAGTTTAATTACAACAAAAAGCAGTAGCATGAATATTTACACTTACAAGAAAACAAGATGAAACAGGTTTTAGCATCACTTTACTGGCTGCCTTTTCCTTTAAAGTTGACTATAAAATTTTAGTAGTATTTTTTAAATCTCTGGTGTAACATGTTTATACACCTTGAAAATCATGCTAGTTAGAAGATCAACTAGTGCTGCTTCTTCACTTTACACATAGTGAAACAAACAAAAAAAAAGTAAAGCATCTTTTTGTTTTTATGCACCAAAAGTCTGTAACTCAATAAATTTTCTTTAGGCTCCTTCTATTACTGATTACAAACAACACTTAAAAATGAAAAATATTTTTTCACTGTAGCATTTAAACAGCTTTTGTTATTTTCTGTATACTTTTACTGGCATGTTACTTTTACATTCTTATATATATATATATGTATATATATATATATATATATATATATATATATATATATACATATATATATATATCATATTATTTTAACGATTTATTCTATTTTAATGTTTTTAATTGTTATTATTATTTAGCATTGTTCTCTTTAATGTAGCAACGGACGTGACAAAAAGCCAGGCGTCAGGTCTGTGGTTGGAGCTCTGATGATATGCATGTACAAACACTCACATACACACACACACACTGCACGCACACACACACCCCAACTCAAACACAAGTATGCAGACAAAGACAAGCGTTCTGTAAAACCTGATGAGTGTGTCAGTACCTGCCACATATATTAAACTTCTTTGGACCGTGTTATGCAAACAGTCAGCAACGGTCACTCTACTGGACACTGTGGTGTTGGAAATAACTGACTGCATGCAGATTCAAAGAGACATCCTTTATATCAAAAAAGAAAAACACATGAATCATTGCCTTAGAAAAAAGTACAGACTGTTCTCTCAGAATATAGTGTTTTTGTTATGCTTTGTTTTTTGTGTCCAGTCACTTTGGACCAACTTCATAGTTAGTGGACACTGGCCAACACTCTTTACAGCACATGTACACTGAAACACTGAAAAACTTTCAGTTTGGAGGCTTTAAAATGGAAAAAATAAAATCAATAGTGATCATTGACGTGATGACAATTTTCAAATATGCTTACTAATTCTACCTTTATAACAGCAGGGAAAGTTCTACTGGCTGTGGAGACAAATAGAACACAGTTTAGATAAGAACAGTATCTGAACAGTTCTAATGAAGGTTAACTTAACTGTTAAACTGTAGAAGCTTGCATACAAATACTTCTACAAATTCTTGGGCACCCATTGTCAAATTTCATATTTTTATTCATTTTAACATGAAAACAAGTAAACACACGCTCTGTAGTGTCTTTTTTTTGTTATTTTCCTTCAAATGTTAATGTACAGTCACTTTATATTTGAATAACAAATAAGACCAAGAACAGAAAATATATATATATATATATATATATATATTATATATATATATATATATATATATATATATATATTCCATGGAGAAGAGTTGAGGGGTTCTTTGAAAACTGCAATTAGTAACATCCATCTTAGTGTTTTCTTAGGAAGGCTTTGATGTATTTGACCCCTGGTGCTATTTTAGCAGGTGTATGAGCTGCTGTTTGATGCTTACCTCTGCTTGCAGAACATGAAAGGTGTTAAAGCTGCAGCTGTGTGGTTTTGATGCAGCACAGAGGTAAGAAATGCTTAAGGTCAGTTTTGCGGTTGGAAAAAGTTCAGACCAAGATGTGCACATACAAACACCACACTTGCCAAATTTTACATTTTTACTGGGGGGGTGGGGGGGTTGGCAGTTTATGGGGTTAGCTAATGTGCTCACCTGTATTTCTTAATCTTACTTAGTATTACTACAGTATCACTATAACATGCTCACTATATGTCCTAGTTTGATCCTATTTGATTCTATATTTGCCCAGTGGTGCTATTCTTTATGCTCTCTATTGTAGGTTCTGGATGCACTTTTTGTTTCCAGCCATGAACGCCATTAAATAGAAATGTTTAATACAGCATCTTTTTAATTCACCGCATTACTAATTTTTAAAAATACTTCACTGCAGAGGTTGCATTTACTTCTTTTAATTTCAAAAATCAGACTTGTGCACTTAACTGTGTTTACTAGACTGATTAGCTGTTTATGTGTCTTCTGATGTGTGGTGGAAAAGTGTTCTTGTTCTAAATGACCAGCAAAAGTTAAAGTGGACAAAAAGCACTGAAGTTAAGGATATTTAAGTATCATGATAAAAATAGTTAGGCCCTCAACAACAAAAAAAAAGTTATGATAAAAATGAAGAAATATATATATATATATATATATATATATATATATATATATATATATACATTCTTTGACAGCAATCCCATTATACAGGACCTAGGGGGTGAGCTACGCTTATGAGTGGGCCCCTCCTCCACCCTCTTTTTTCAAAGCTCACTAGTTCTTCCAGTGCAGTGTTGAAAACATGCTTGAAAGCTGCAGGCTAACTGTTTCTTTTGCATTGCAGGTATACCATTGCATGGTTTTAAAACCATATTAGTCCTTTTGACCTCACTGTAAAACTCACTGCACATCTTAATGAAAGAACTAAGTTAACACAACTTAAATACTACAGAAAGTTGGAGTAACTTAATCTGCAAAAAGTCTAGTTAATTCAAAAAATGAATTGTTGACATAGTAACTTGGTTATTTTGAGTAAGAGATTTTTCAGCATATTCTGAGTTAAGGTAACTTTATTTAAATGTATTATATTCACTATTTTTATTTAACTTGACTTTACTTGCAAATACAATAACAGGCCAATAACAGTTTGCTTTTAAAGACTGTTGAAAATGTAGTGTGGCTTAATGTGGACTTTTTATGCTTTTTTTTCATAACTTTATTTTGATGATTTCAGACTCAAAGTTCCCATCAAACAGGATCTTTGAGTTGAATAAACTTATTGCAATTTAGTTTCGACTCTCAGCTTTACTTGATAAATGTTTGGTCAACGCAGCCTTCTTGAGTAAAACTCACATCATTCCTATTGGCTCTTAGTACCATATATTTGCATATTGGGCGTGTCTTTTCACTGTCTATGTGTTGTCATTCTCCCGAGACTACCTTCCCATGTGTGTGAAGAGAGATGTGAGGAGGATGCAGCACTCAGACTCTCTGCTCTGGTGCCCTGGGGAGTGCTGAGTGATGGGTCTCCCCTGCTGCTATGTTCAATAAAAGAGCATTCGTTTGAAGCTCTACGTTTACAGCATTTTCTTTATCTACGCTGATGCCGCAATATAAAGCTATTTAATAAATGATGTAGAACGATCAGTTTAAATATGAATGTTATACAACATCCTGAAAACACAAGCTTTATTTTATCTAATTTTAGTTTTTGTTCTGCATCTACTTTCTAAATGTACTGTGACCCAAAAAAAGCTTTAAAAAATGAAAACAAATGTCTTATGAATGTATGTTGAACCTAGTGTTGAACTGCTGGCAACCCAAGCACATGCACATACAAGAGGAGCGGCAGAACAGCGCAGTACATTCGGCAGCATCTCTGACCATTCTAAAGGTGTGTTCACAGTATTGCAGCAAATACACGTTGCGTGCTGCTCTTCACCACAGCTAGTTTTGAGTATGTCACCACTCAAGGAGGCAAACCATCCATCAGAGAAACGTAAACATTTTAAATGCATATTTTCAATGTATTTTTTTATTGATTCAAGAAAACCTGAAACACATACTACGTTTTTCATATTCTACAATGACAGGGTGACAACAAGTAGTCTAAAGTCTTGTATGTAATATCACAAAAAAAGAGAGTATTCATGAGTTATACTAGCCGATGGAAGGTTTGTTAGATGTAGAGAGATTATTTTAATAAACAGTGTTTTTTTTTGTTTGTTTTGTTTTGTTTACAATCTGTTACACTCTACGTTTGGACACATTTTGGGACAGTTTCTGCTTTGGGTGGATTTTAAGTGGACTTTGTGGTGTCTGGCCCGCTGGGTGGCTGTTTTAAATATATGCCTTAAAACTTTAATTAAACTTTGAAAAGTAAGTGAACAGAGTAATCTGTGTTTTATGTCCTGTCAACTTTGGAGACACTACAGTTCTGTTAGCTTTCTATACTTGCTACAGTGGAGCAAGCTAACAGAGCAATTTCACAGCAGTACTGTGTTTTTTTAACCTGCTACAGCATGAAAAGAATGACAGGATTATATGTTCAAATCATTACTGAAAGACTGCAAAACAGCATCATACAAATTCTGAAATATATTTTATATGAATGTATGTTACAAGCAGTTTACGCTTCAAATAATCTGTGTTATAAGAATGTTCATGTACTGCTGCTATGGCACCCTGTTAGCATAGCCATAAGGTGAATTTTGGGAACAAGCATTATTGAAATGGTGCAAACTGGACGAATACAGGCCTATGAGGCAAATTAAAACATTTCTGCATTAGCCAATCAGATTTCATAATCTGGACCTGTCTTAAATGCACAATGCACACTGATTGGCTGAGTAAATCTGCAGCTTTGGCTGGATGTTAATCAGCCCTGTTAACAAACTCATATGTTCATTATGACCTATACTTTTCTGTGGGTCCAAATGTGGGCCAAAATGCCCAGCTTCTTTATTAACTGCAAGTAAAACAATGTTGATTTCAAAACTGAACCCCTATATTTTCTGTGAAAGAGAGGCAGGGCTTGGCCTTACTAGCCCTTTTTTACCAGCCACCCCAGTTTAGATACATCCCACTTCATAATACTTCCTGATTTTTACTTCAAAGAATTATTGTGCTTGATGTATTTGAAGTATTGTAAAAATGCTTCTTTCTTCAAGTTTTAGAAAATTTTCCAGTCAGGATTCCTGTGGTGTCCCATTGGTGATAACTTCAGGAACTGCACTACATTATAGGATTGTTCCACCATATTGGCAGGGTGCATTCTTTGTTTTCATGCTACAAATACTCACCTAGTGCAAGAATTTAAAGAGATTGCTGTTGTATTGTTCAGACTTGTCAAGCCTAAAAAGTGAATTAAGTGAAATAGGAGCTGGAGCTGCTTCTGAACAGCTGACTGAACCTTCTTTTCCGATCTGCTTTTGTTGATTTTGCACTGATCTTTTGCTCTGATCTTTGAGCTTGTTGATGTAGATCAGTGGTCTCCACACCTGGTCGTGGAGAGCTATGCTTCTGCTGAGTTTAGTTCCAACCTGTATCCAATAAGCTTCCCCGCCCCTTACTTAACCCTACTACATGTGATTGAGCCAATGAGGGACTTGGGATGAGGTTGATTAGCTGAAGCCGGTGTGACAAATTGTGGTTGGAACTAAGCTCTGAAGGAAAGTAGCTCCAAGAAGGTTGGAGACCAATGATGTAGATCCACATCTGCAAACAAATTGAGTGAGCGCATGGGCTGCAATCAGTCACAATCAACAAACGCTGACAGAAAAGGAAGATTAATTCCATATTAGACTACAAATAACAAAGCTTTAGGGTAGTCACAGCAAGGTGTAGGCTAACACTTACCTACATCTCCATTATCATCTCCATTATCATCTCCATTAGCCTTATCAGGTCCTCTTGAAAACCAATAGGACATTAGAACCTGCCAGTTGAAACCCAAAATATGCAAAAGTACATTGAAATAAACATTTCCAGTTTTCTAACAACACAAGGTTTATCTTCACCCCTCAAGCTATGCAATGTTCTCTGTTATTTTTATAACATACATAGTTGAGCTAAAGTAGTTTGTGGTTTTAACATCCTAACCATTAACAGTTTACTAAACTTACCCGAAAAAATCGGCCCGTGCCATCAAAGCAAAAAAGTTACTCCGTCTCTGCAGGTCTGTAAGGCTATTACTGATTGGTTGAGCACATATGTGCTGTGTTTGGTTGAAGTAATGCGGGTGTCAGTGAAAGGCTGTCTTATGTTCTGATTGGCTGGGGTACACCCAGTTAAAAAAACACATATTGGTGCATATGTGTGTGAGCATGAGAAATGTTTCAGAAATCCACAAATGAATGCAGGTGGTTTGAACATGTGACATAATGTATAAATGCACACAAATGAAGGCAACCTGTTTTCGCAAATAAATGAGTGGGAAAACTTGTTTGTGAATCTAATTCAAGTGATCATTTGTGAAATACCAGTATATTTATGCATCTCACTTTATTTACTATTGTGAAACTGCTAAAAACAAAGTGAAATATATGTTGATCTCTGTTACAAGCTTAAAATAAAACAAGCTGAATGTTTTTTACAAGCTTTACAAGTCTGCGTTTAAACTAGAATGTGCACGACTGTTAGCTTAGCACTAACATACTACTCGAAACCCCACAGCAGGCTTATTATAGTTTTGAAGTTTTCATTACTTTTTATCTTCATTTATTTTTGATACTTTGATTTCAGATTAGTTTCAGTTAATTTTAAGGGTTCGCTAATAGTTTTAGTTCAGATTTTAATTAGTTCTAGTTTTATGTTTTGGTTTTAATATTATGATGAACACTGTGATTTTCACACTTCTGGGTTCTCACCTAACATGCTCCAGGACTCCATTTCCCAGAATTTCAATCATCATGACATCACCCCTTCCACCAATCACAGGCCTCTGCCTCGTTCTCAAGTACTGATTCAACACACCTGTATCTGTTTGTCTTAGACTTTAAAAGGATCCTGGTTTGTTCTTCTCTTTGCGAGGTATTACCACTCTTCTGGTTACTGAACGTTTATCTTCTATTTTCTTGTCCTGTGTACTGAACCCATTGCCTGTTTTCTTGATTGTTTCTCTTTTAGATTTGCCCTTATTGCTCTGGTTGCCTGTGTTTTTGCATTTTCTGGTTTTTGACTTTTGCCTGTTTTTGGATACTGTTTTTAGATTTGCCCTTTCTGCTCTGGTTGCCTGTGTCTTTGTATTTCCTGGTTTTTGACTTTTGCCTGTTTTTGGACATTGTTTTTGGATTTACCCTAACTTGTTTCTCTCATTAAACCAACTGTTGTTTTTAAGATCCGTGTGCTTGTTCAGCGTTACAGTGATAGGAGGTATTTGATAAGGGTAGAATAAAATTAACACACAGTAGACTGTTTTTCTTGTTTTTGAAAGCTGACGTTTTTAATCTGTATTTCAGTTAACTAGTATACTTTTTCAGTGCTAGTTTTTGTTTTAGTAATAGTTTTAGTTAACTATAATAACCCTGTCCCATAGAAGTGCTAATAGACATTAGCATTATTGTAAAGGTGGGTTTTTTCCTCATTTTTTGATAGCATTATGACATTTATAGCCCAAATTAAAGGCTTAGCCCTAATGGTTACAGTTCTCCCTTACATAGTTTATTACCTCTTTCTCTTTTTTTCAAAAAAGAGAAAGATGCAAATTATTACATTCTCCAAGCACCGCAAGCATTGCATGTGGTTATGTACTTTGTATAATATGTAATAGATCATACTCTATTTTTTTTAATGTAGTTTTCTCACTACTTCTAAACATCTTCTGAAGAAACGTCTTAACCAGAAAATCACTTTTACTGATCAGATCTTTACCCCAAAAATGCAATATTAATTTTGAAATTAGTTTCAAATGTTCATTTAAACACATGCAACATAAAGAATAAAAGTTAAATTAGAAAGTTGAAGTAGAATCTGTTCAACTAAATTCAAGTAATGGCAGGAATGAAAACTCAACATTGTCCAGAAACCTAACTTCGATGTAATAAACCCAGACTACCCATAATGCAGTAGTGTCCTAATCTGATCTTAGAGCGCCACCTTGTGGTGTCACTGTATGAGAGCTACTCATATTCAGATCAGTGTGTTTGCATTGTAAGCGAACAGCTGTGTTTACATTGTTTGAATTTACTTTAATGTTAAAGCAGTTAAACATGAGTATAGATTGCTCAGATAACTCAGCTGTTACATACTGCAAGAAATGGAAAGCATAATATGCAATTAATTACACTGTAAATATAGAAATAATAGAATTTTACTGGCATATCCAACATTATGAGCGATATTTATCATACTTCTTTTAATTATTAATGTTACAAAAGTTTCTGTGTTCCTGTCTTGACCTGTATAAAACAACAGAACTTAAAATGGGCGTTGAAGAACAAAGTTGTTTATAAATAATTAAAGCTGCACCACCTTCAAAGTTCACAGCTGCTAGCCCTAACTAGCCTAGCAGTGTCCTCTAGGGCTAGGCTAGTCATGCAGATGATGAGACTAAACTGCTTAAATATCCAAAGTTAGTTCACTGTATTAGTGTAAAGACAGTGATTTGGAGCAGCAGTATTCTGTAAACTAGTAAGGTGTTCGCCTAGTTAGCTCTTTAGTAGACACTGTTAGGTAGCGCTAGCAGCCACAGAAAGCTAAGTTTACTTAATATACTTCAATTTACAATTTCACACAGCTCAACACAGGAAACTGAGTCTGTTACTTTAACAAATATGACAAACATTGTTCATAAGGGCAGACATGTCAGCATAATCCTCTCTGGCAAAACACTGAGTATGAAGAGTGCTACCATGCTCTAGGCAGATCACGGCTAACTGAGTGGGTGTGGCTACATGCTCAGAAAGCCCAGAAACAAAAGAAAGCAAAAATTTGTAATATATTTATATCAGAATGAGTAAAAAAATCATTTTATTATTTTCTTCAAAACTTTTGCACAAAATCAACTCCATAGGACAGGGTTAAGGTGGGAATCAGGGTGAAAGAGATGGGGTCAGATGGATCAGAAACTGCCCACCCATGTGGCAAATCCTCACTTTGCCAAAGTGCGGTTCAGCAGCACCGCCTGCAAATGTGAAGAAAAGAGGAAATGAAATGAAAAGTATCAGCATTAACAACATATATGAATGTACAGCAGTCTGTCTGAGCATTGACCATTATAAAAGAGTCTTACTGTTTCTCTAACAGCCCAAAAATAAATGATGACTTTACTGTGCCATAAATACAGAAGACTAAATAAAGACAAAACAAAGTCAGCATCTATTTCCTAAGTGGTCAAACGCACTCACCTCCACATCCACGTTCCACATCTGCACCATAGGAAGGCCTGAGTTTCTGTCATAGTTTGTGACCTAAAATCACAATAAAGTTTGTTTTTTTTTTTTATCTGACCTTCGTTTTAAACAGTAATGTGGTTGGACACTTACCTGCGCAAGCAGAGTGACCCCTCATGTCATCTCTTCCAGAGCACAGTTGGCTGCAGTTCCTCTCAGATCTTCTCCTGGAGGACATGGAGGAGCCACTTGTACTGTGGATAAAGACAACAAAGCAACATCTCCTGTAAATATCTCATCATTCCTACCAGGAAGAGGAGCTATTTGGTCCTCTTCTTCTGTTCGTCTGTGACTTCTGTTCCTTGGAATGGTAATGTCATAAAGTCAGACCTGAAAGAAACACATGGTTTAAGTAAAGGAAAGCTCAAAACCTCATGGTGTCATACTGAGCACCAAGCAGAAGAAGGAGGAACCTAATCTGACGAAGGGTATCGATTCACTCACTCGTAGCTGCCGTGGTCCATGTATTGGATCACCACTTCATTAGAAACCTTGTAAAATGAGGTGATGTGGGCTCGCACCAAGTGCCATCGACTGCAGGAGCTGCACAGATTACTCCATCTACTGGAGATACAGAGAGAAGAAGACAAAAGAAGAGGTGGGGGATTTGAATGGAGTGGAATTAAATGGGACCTACTATGCTTTTCTGGGTTTTCGCTTTTCTTTAGTGTGTTCTGTAGATTTTTGTGCATGTAAACAGTCTGCAAAGTCACAAAGCTTAAAGTTCACACCAGATGGAGAAACTCTCTCCCTCAGAAACCACTTTTATCAGCTGCCTGAAACGCCTCATTGGAAGTTCAGCCCTTTTCCTTTGTCTCATAATGACACAATCTCGTAACACCGTCCTTACTGCCCACCTATCGGGAAACTTGGCACACCCTCACCCAAGAGAGCTACAGCTAAAGTAAAAATGTCCCACTCTGAAACGTTCTGCTCCAGTTTAGCTTGTGAAGGTGGATCTGGTCTACCGACTTGTTCTACCCAACTTTCAGATCAGAATCTGGCTCAACCTGGTGTTGATTTATCAAGACGAAATTCAGAGGAAGCCCACTCTTCTAAAAATATAAGGTTTCCTACCATCAGCTGTAGATAAAAAGCTCTCCTCCTTTAGACTGCTGGCCTGACTCAGTGCTTATAGTAGCTGCCTCTGATCCCTTATGAGGTCTTTTCTCGTCTACATTAGATGAGGTTGAGCCTGGGACAGAATGGTTTTGCCTGATGTTTTGACTGTCCTGTCCCTCCTCACTGTCATAAACTATAAACACCACTAATTCCTATGCAGGCAGGAATTTGGGTCCTGCTGCATAAGAATCAGCGGTGATCTAAGAACCATTAAAGGTGGATGATATAGAGTTTACTGTAGTCCTGGACAAAGCTGCACTGTCAGACAGAATTCTTAAAAATACTGTGTCTGAATCTACACTGTGAGAAATGTATACCTTTAATAATAAAAATGCCAGCAATACGCCTGGAGAAATACACAAGAAATCATCAATATGATGATCAGTAATCATCATGTTGTTGTCATATAATTTATGTTAATTTATGTTATATAATTTATATTTATACGAATTTATTATTATTGTTGCTGTTACTGTTTTTAATAATACAGTGGAAATTATTATAAGACATTTCAATACATAATAATTTTTGCCGTTGTTGTTGTTGCTGAAAATGTCCTTTTGGATTTGCATGCTGGTAATACCAAGAGGACCTGTGTATCTTTAGTGTTTTAAACATATTTTTAAATATGTTTATTATGTTTATCAACGTGTTTTTTGTTTTTAACACTTTATATTAAGTTTTTGGTACTCTGGTAAGAAGATGTACAGGAGAATTATATTGTAGCCTGAGACTCTGGAGGTGTGGCTAGGCAGATAACCACACGCAAAGGCTCATAGTAGTGCACACCCTCCAGCACAGGGACTTATTTGTGTTGTTTAATGTTATTTCTGTTGGTTTAAGTTGTGCATGCATGTTGTTTGTGTTTTGTGCATGTGAGGGGGGTCATCATCAGAGTGAAGCCGATGGGGAGAGGTGACCTCCCCCTCGAGTTTGGTGGGCTGTATGTGCCTCTTTTTGCTGATGTATTCAATAAAGAGCACTTGGCATAGCAGATCATGGCTACCCCTGTGTTTATTCCTATGTTGATGTCACAAAATAAACACTATAAAATTGTGAAAATAAACATCTATCTAGGGTTGATTTAGCACTGACAATGAATGACATATTCATATAGAGTTTTGTTGCTTTTGTTTGGGACAAACTATTCATGAGTACACTATTGTGACATTCAGTGTTTTTCTATGGTGACTTTAATTCTCAGAATTTATGACCGCGTTGCAAACCACACACCCATCTGCCACAGCATGTCCACTGCACAGTTAGGTAACAGGCCTCAGTGGTTACAAAGCTAGGAACTTATAGAATAAGTTGACACCTGCTATGTTTTTTTTTGTTTTGTTTTTTTTTCTGGTGTGGGGGGGGACTACCAAATGTAAGACTATACAGTCTTGTATATTGTATGCATAAGCATCAAAAGGCATTTTGTCTGGACAACAATTCAGTTTATTCAACCTATCAGTGCATACATTAGTGCACATTATACATCAGCACATACCTTTGCATAGTAACGTCAAAATAAACACACACAACCAAGAAAAAAAACAGAATGAAAACTTTCACAATCACATAACACATTTTACAGCACCACCACAACACGCACTTTACCATCTCCAGATTTCCCAATGCTCCCCAGTATTGCACAGTAAGTGTACATGTTGCTACATATGTGCTTTTCTAAATAATCTGCTGTTTTATTTTCTGATATTTACATCTACACTCTGAAAAATATGGTTCTTAAAGGGCTCTTTAATAAAAGGAATGGTTTTACTTAGCACCATGGGTTCTATATAGAACCACTTCATGCTTAAATGGTTCTGTTCACTTTGAAATGGTTCTTCAGATTCATGGACAATGTGTTGTACATGATTATATATAGTCTTCTTGAAAACCAGAGAGGCACCAATAAGAGTCTGCTATTGATACAAGACCATACTTTTCTGGTGCAGTGACATAAAAAAAGGCTTAAAAAGAAAAAAATAAAAAGAGTGAGAACAGAATGAAAAAAAAAACACAAAGACGGTGCATAAAAATAAATACAGAATATGTGCAACAGTTTCACAACATTTTTTTAAGTGTTTCTGGGGATGTTTAGGAAATATTTGTGTCCATTTAAAACTAGAAACATGAATTTTCTGAATGAAAACACAGAATGGTTGTGCAGCTTAATTGGTTCCCATTTTTTGTCTGCTAGATTGTTGCTAGGCAGTTACTATGGTATCCCAGGTGGTTGCTAAGGTGTTGCTAGGCAGTTTCTATGGTATCCCATGCAGTTGCTAAATTGCTGCTAGGCAGTTGCCATGGCGTGTGGGGTGTTTATTCAGTTGTTCGTAGGAAGTATTATCTACGATTTGTTGAAAATGAATGGGAGTCTATGTAAAACGAAGGATGGAATGGTTGGTATGGTTGAGCAGTAGAATTAGAGGTTCTACCCTTAGTGAGTACATGTAGTTTGGTGGCTTTAGGGCGACGAAGTATAGAGTTTGTGTGGTGGCGAAAATGAATGTGACTCTATGGAAGAAACAAGGGATCTGTGGATCTAATCATAAAGCTGTATACAAGCCTGGATCACACAATCAGACCAGACAATCTGGAGTTGGAACAGTGTTGATATCCCGAAAACTGCGGCATGAGTTATGCAGCAAATATCTGGCAAAAAATAAGAATAAATAAAAACGAGAAGGAGAAAAAGAAGAATATAAAATGAGAACAATATAGTTGCACATTAACTTCTCTATAAATGGGACCCCAGATCATAAAAACATGAAGCTTTAAATGAGACATTTTGCTGAATCAGTTCAGTTTGTTTGATATTTCAAACAGTAGTTGAACGTGTGCCTTGCCCAGAGGTGGTAGTAGTGGTCCTTTGGTCTTTGTCTGGGCCTTCCTCCCCAACTGCATTCTCAATTTTCGACAAGAGCGTATAACATTGCTCCTTAACATCCTTCCCCATGAATGCATAAAGAAACGGGTTCAGACAGCTGTTGGCATTGGCCAAGGTGACAGCAATTGTAAAGGCAGTATAGAAAAAACTTGCATATTTCTGGTAGTTTAAGTTCATCATAGAAAAAATGTGAAAAGGCAACCAGCAGATCAAGAAAGTAATGATTAACACAGTCATGATCTTGAACGGCTTTTTGGACCTCGCCGTCTGGTTGGACTTCAGCTTTCGCATGATGATGACATAACAGATGAGAATGATCAGGTACGGGATCACGAATAAAAAAATTAATAGGCATGTCGTTTCTGCAACAAGTTGGTGAGAATTAGTGTAAACATACACACAATGTTCCTCGATGTAATTGGGTAAATTCAGCACTGGCATAATGAGAGCTGCCGAGCTGATCCAAGCTAGCACGACTATCAAGGAGGCCTTTCTTACAGTGCGATGGTTCTGAGCCCACACAGGAAACATTACAACCACGCAGCGGTCCACACTGATGATGACGAGGAGGAAGACGCTGCAGAACCAGTTGAGGAACAAAATGAAAACCTTGACCTTGCACATGAAGAGCCCAAAGATCCACTCATTTTTAATCACTAAGACGACAATAAAGGGCAGGAATGAGCAGAACAGGAAGTCGGACACGGCCAGACTCAGGTACCAGGTGCTGTTGACGGTCTTCTTCACCTTAAATCCTGTAATCCAGATCACCAAACCATTTCCAGTAACACCCAGGATGATAATGATCACATTTGCTACTGCATAGAAAATACAGATTGCATATGTGCAAGCGTGTGAAGTCATAACTGGGCGTGTGGTGAAGCTGTCATTGTCATAGCCAGGATGTTCTGTGGCTCTCAGTGTGGTTGAAGTCATGATATCTCTTGATTCTACACAGAAAACAGAAACACAATTTGACATTGAGGACAGTTTTGGTTAGAGAAAGCTGCAGGTACTCTTGCTCAATGAGAATGCACTAGCTGCATTATTACCTAAAAGGTATACCCCTTAAATCGGGGATTAATACAGGATGTATTTCTGACATCCCATTCTGTACTACTAAATGACCTAAACTGATGGTGGATGGTGATCACTGTCCTCCTTTCTCCTCAGCCTCTGCTCCTGGCTTATTGGAAAACATGTTTGCAGTATAAATTTCAGCAAGGTTGGCATCAATACTGATACCATATCAGGATAGCTGTGGTTGGTAGCCGGTGGTGAAGCATCGCCAGCTCTAATAAATAAAAGAAATAAACAACTAAAATCAAAGTTTCTGGCTCCATCTTTAAAGAACTTTAAAAGAACCTCACAAGAGCAGTGTTTTGTGGCGCAAAGGTAAAGGCGGGAACAGTGGTGCTGTGACGCAAACAGAAAATCCATCGTAGGGCAGACCATCTCATTTTGGTACAGCCTTTTTGGGTCTAAGCAGCCTTCAAAGCACATGCCTTCATAGACTGCATTCTTCGAAGGATCCAGCCCCTGAATTGGGACACACTGCACAGTTCCATTTCTCTGTCATACACTGCGGTGCTTTCTTGGGGTTGTGGACAGGGTAGATGGGCGTGCTCATACATTTTACACCACGTAGTAGCCCAGGGTATAAACACATTATGTAACGAGTTGGCACCATAGTTTGTATTTATATTTTTGGCGTAAGTAAGATGAGTATAGATAGCTCTTTTGTTTTGCTGTTAGGTGAGAATTTAAACTAAAGAGCTAGGGTAGTTTTTTTTTTCCTTTTGTTTGCTTTGATTATTTTTTTCTTTTAGCACCATCCACACTGTCACCTAGATTTGTCGTAACAGTAGTGTAAGCATCGGTAATAGAGAATACCGATACGATCAAGCGTGAAATTTCCGACATACACATGTGCAACTAAGAGCCAGCAGATGAGTAGATTTAACTAAAGCAAAGAACAGGTTGGTGTAATTGGTTGACAATCAGTTGTAAAAAAGGCACAGAGCTAAATATGATATGGTACAACAGCTGTAAGATATCTGGCCACAGCTTGCCAGCTCTGGTACCCAACGATGGCCAGACTAAAACAAAAAATGTACAAATCCTCTACCAAGATTTAGGTCTCCAATGCAGGAGTTCCCAATTCTGATTGTGGAGATTTACCACCCTGGAGAGTTCAGATCAAACACACCTGGCTCTAATATTCTGATGCCTTTGAAGGTCTTCATTGCCTGGACAAGGTACATCAGATTAGGGTTAGAGCTAAACTCTGCAGGGTGGTAGATCTCCAAGACTAGGATTGAGCACCCCAGCTATAATAGATAAAAGGGTCATGGAACTTCTCCTAAAAAAGCATTCCAGGGCCCACAAAGACCAACCACTCAACAGCGATGAACTAAGTGCTGGATCACTTAGGAGATATTTCTCTAGAATTTTCTGGCTTCTTTTTGACCTCATTTTACGATGTGTTTTGCAATAACAACTGAGTTAAACGCAGAAACATGCAAAGGATTCAATGTGAAGAAACATGCGTGGGAATACGTTGCCTAATATGTTGTTTTGAGAATGTTTTGGCCTAAAAAAAAATAAGGTCTAAGTGTAGAGGTAGATTCAAGGTGTTATGAAGCACAACACTCCCCAAAGAGTACTTGTTGTATTATACAATAAATAAAATGGCTGTATTTGTACTGTAGACTTTGACAATCCCGGTTCCTATGACCACCACCTATCACCACTGCAAAGCAATCTGGGTCAGTAAGTTTCTCTAAGATTTAAAACCAAATCACTCTGAATGACTTTGATGACATCTCAACTATAAAATCATACAAAAGTTTTGAAAAGTCACTAGAATTCTCTTTTAAGCTGGACAATTACGGTGACCTTATTGAAATGATTCACAAACTAGCAGCCATCTGCAAGTCGAGTATATAACAACAGAAAATATATTTGTCAAATACAAAAAAATCCCCCAACAGCAACAATGCAAGGCTGCTGTGAAATAATCCACCTTTACAGTCAGAGGTAACTTTTAAACTAACAAGTGATACGTAGATATCGAGTGCACAGGCATTGGCAATGCTGAGTATTATGAATCTGGCCCAAGGTCTGGTTTATATTTGAATGAATGATGACTCACCTGTCAGCTTCTCTGTACAGTGCTGCAGAGCTGAGAGTTTTGTCCCTATGATGAAGGACAAACTATTTATCAGTAAAACATTGTGACATTCAGTTCTTCTTAGTGGTGGCTTTAGTTCTCAGAATTGAAGAGTGAGTTGCAAACCACATGCCCCTCTCTGTCCCAGCACATACACTGTACAGTTGGGCAATACGTTGCTCAAAGGGTTCCAATTTATTTTACGTTTAAATACATCTAACACTGTATAGCAGCCATATCACATATTGATGCCACAGAAGGTTATTTCCATTGTGGTCCTTGTTACATTAAAAAAAAAACAAAAAAACAACAGAATTGCTATGACAACAGAAACTAGAAAAAGTAGAAAACTAGAAAAGTACATTTCCTGTATTACAGGTGGTTTCTAGGGTGTTTCTAGTGACAGCATGGGAAGGGTGCACAAACCTTTGGCCACATAATGTACCATTATTGCTGTGAAATTAGACATTTACACTGCCCTTGACATAAATAAAAATAAGGTGTGTCAATGAGGTTAAGCAGAAGTTTCTTGAAATAAACAATAACTAATTAATCACATCAGTTTAAATATCGTGAAACCCAGTCATAAATAATTCATTTGTGCAAAAAGCACCAAGATTCTGTCTTCATGCACAACATAAGTCTATTTCTCTGAAGTCTGATGATAAAAGATTTTTAGAACACAACATCTTAGAATTTAGTTTCAAAAAGTTGCATATGACTTAAATGGCCCATATCTAACATATTGTCTTGAATTTTTTTCTCTTCTGTGGTCTACTTGTAAGTTTTGTGTGGTTTTATGTATCAAAAACAGCCATAATTCTTTTTCACATGGTCATGTTCCAACCTCTCTTCATCCCTTTGACTTAAACAGGCTGTGACAAGTATCTAAATGACCTCTGTTCTAATTGTCTGCCCTATGTTGTGCCTTGACTGAAACACTGCTTATAACTTCAGCGTGAATGGGCCTAGATAACCTGCTCTTGGCTCAATGGCGTGCATATATATCACTGTTGTTGGAAGAAAACCTTGTATCTCCATTTTGGACGTTTTTCACATAATTTGAAAATACCTGTTGCCCTTTACTGAACCCAGTACAGAATGCCTGTGACCTTCGACCCCTCAGACAGCAGTGCATTAAAAACCAGCTTCCTTCTGTAATGAATATAACCACGGGTTTCCGGCACTGTAATGAAAACAGCATCTTCTTCCTGCGTCAAATTCAATGTTTTGCGAATTCTCCTTGTGTATTTAAATATTTACTAGATCAAATATGATTTTCACATGTAAATCTAATTCCCGTGTTTAGAAAATAGGAAATAATTCATTTCATTCTGACAAGTTTTGAATTGTAATGAAAATATCATGTTAAACTGTTGAGGCACAACTACCAGGTTCAAGCACAGTTACGCAGACAAGAATAGTCTGTTCTCAAGCTCTTAAACTGGTCACACCCACAATGCCCTCCAGATTATGAATACAAGAACTACACCGACTGTATGCATATTCCACTTCAGTCTTATTCTGAACTGCTGACCTACTATACAGAAACTTGGACTGAACACTTGAACTAACATTCACAACACTGTTAACTAAACACTGCCTCTGAAAAAAAAATGCTGTATATATATTACACATTTCATACATACATATGTACTGTCCTCTGACTTATTCTGTTTATTGTCTATTGTCTATTTAGTGTATTGTCTATTGTTTTTTGGGCACTCACATGTACTCATGTCCTTATCTTAATGTATATGCACCAGAGAAGCAGCCCGAACATGATCCATCATACTGTACCCCTGTATATGTATAATGAATTGAACTAAATTGAATTAACGATTGTTACTGTGATCCTAATGAACTGAAAACATATTTCAGTTTTTAATACGTTTTTAATATGTTTTTAAATATGTATGACATAATTTACATGTCAATTTTTGATTGACCTTCGCCTGGGACACTTGTGAAAATACTGAAGCATTAAAAATACACCAGTGGCACATATTATGCTTGGTGTAGTGCTGTTGCCACTGTCACCGTTTTAGAAATCTGACCCTATATGGAATATCTCTGGTTAAATTTCAAAGCAGCTGGATAACACTGTTGAACTGTCACCCTGCATGTAGGAGACCATTGTCTAATCCCATATCCCATATAATCCCATATCCAGCCATGTACTTCAACTTGTGATAGGCAAATAACACTAGTTGGACATTTATGGAACTATTATGTATTATCATGACTATATTTAAACCCTGGTGTCAAGGAAATCCAAAAAAGAGTGGCATCACCTCCTCTCAGGGCAAAATTGGTAACACTTAATTTAGAGTACTCCTTTGTAGATGATTCCTAAACTCTTAACAGAGTATCAGTAACACATCAATAACATATCAGTGAGTATCACAGCAGTAGTGAAGCATCTGAATACACTGCGGTAAATATCTTGAAGATGTACTGTTGATACACTAAGTAGATGTATAGTTTATATGTATAGTTTATATGTATAGTTTAGTTAAGTTACATGAAGTAGACTTAATATGTTACTTCCATTAACCATAACCTAACTTTACCCAAGACCTAACCCTCACCCTATGCCTAACTCTAAACTCAACCTCAACCCAAAACCTAATTCTAACTGTCACCCTGGCCCTAATGCTAATGCTAACCTTAAAGTCAAACCAAAACCTAATCCAAACCCTCAGCCTGACCCTGACGCTGACCCTGACCCTAACCTAAACCTAACCTGAAACTTAACCTCAACCCAAAACGCAATCC